GCGAATGAATTGCAAAAAGTTATGAATTATACGCAACTTGCCACTCAGTGCCCACGCCAGCCACCATGAACAGCGCGCCACCAACGGTCACCGCCCCCCAGCCGTTTGCTAATGCAAATTCCGACCTTTTTTCGGGGTGTCAGCGCGCCAAACGGCAACGGCTGTTTCGATTCCTACGTGAATATTTCAATATGTGCAAGAACAAAAACAATAGAAAAGCATTTCATGATGTCATTATTTGCAGTTGTAGTGAAATAAATAAACATTTTGAAGCGCAGCAATACACACCAACGCACATGCACACACACATAAGCAGTAAACAATATTGGCAGTAGATGCATTTACACTCATATATGTGAGTGTAATTGTGCTTGCAAGGGCTGTGGTGGCCTTCAGACGCTTTGTTGTTTTCATTGTCATTAAGTTCTTCCTGCTTTTATTGCATACTTTTCAGCTCATTTGGCATACTAACATGTATGCTTTGCCCCATTTAATCTTTGTTGTACTTCCAACGTGTATACGCATGTGTGTGTATGTGTGCTTTAAAGTTGACCACGCTCAGCGTACGGCGCTCGGTTTTTCTTGCATATTTAAATTACTAATGAAGCGCAATAAATTTGCTGACAGCAAAAGTTCCTTTTTACATTTGAAGTATTCGTGCGAATTTCAACATGTCAGTGGCAATCGTAAAATTTTATATTCGTAATATCAACTGAAAAGTTGCCAGTCCGACACACAGCTGGCACTACTAGCATTAAATTCATATGATTTTTAGTTAGCCCTGACCTTCAACGTCACTATTAAGAGTCCTAACTTCGAAGTCGTAGATAATTTCGTCTATCTTGACGTCCAGCATTAACACCAGCAACATCGTCAGCCTCGAAATCCAACGCAGAATAACTCTCGGAAATAGGCGCTAAGTACTTCGGACTGAGTAGGCAATTGAGAAGTAAAGTCCGCTCTCAACCAACAAAGACCAACTAACTCAACATCTCTGAACTGCTATCCCGTCCTGCATCCAAAGAAAACAACAAAAAAAGTGCAGAAAATTATTTTGGAGGGCCGTAAAGTGAAGTTGTTCGAGAAAGTAGAGACTCTAAAGATATCAACAGAATATGTTTAGCATATCATTCACAAATAATTGGATATGAAAAAGCTCTGTGCAAAATGGTTACCGTGCGAGCTCACGCTTGACCAAAAATAATGATGGGTTATTGTTACGGAGCAGTAATTGGAGATATAAAGCAGGAGATATAGAGCATAATAAATCCGAAGTTTTGCATCGATATGTGACAGTGGATGAAACATGGCTTCATCATTTCACCGCAAAGTGCAAACGACACTCATTTGAGTGGTCTGCACACGTTGAAGCCGCTTCAAAACGTGGAAAAATAGTCGACGGCATAGTCGATTATGGCGGCTGTATTTTAAGATGCGAATGGGATAATTTTTATTCACTAACTTGCAAAAGGAAGAACCATCAATAGCGATAAAGTGTTCTTGGATCGTTTGAAGAACGTAACCGCCGATAAACGGTAGTATTCGACGAAAACGACAGTGTTTATTCATCAAGGCAAAGCTACGCGCGACAAACCGGGAAAAGCGATAGCAAACATCCGTGAATTGAACTTCGAATTGCTATTGCATCCACCGTATTCTCCAGATCTGGTTCCCTGCTACTATTTTCTGACCATAGGTCTCAAAAGGATGTTCGCTGGAAAGAAATTTTCGTCGAATGAAGAGGGGATTGCCGAAACTAATGCCATTTTGAAGCAAAGAATAAAATGCACAGCTAAAGGTATCGAAAACTTAGAAAGTCGCTACAATTAGTATATCACCCACAAAGAGAACTATATTGAATAGTATTGAGTTATATTTTGCTTCAAGGTCTGAATCGAAGAGGGATTGTCGACATAGACTTTGGACTTTACATGATCCCACAGGAAAAAGCAGAACAGCGTGATACTATAACAAGATCTTGGTGGACACCGAATTGTTCTCTCAATAAATCCATTGATTGATGCGTTGTGTGGGAAGTGGTGCCGTCTCGTTGAAACCAAATGTCGCCGAGATCACGAGTTTCAATTTCAGGCATGAAATAGTTGATTATCATGACTCGCTAACGTTCGCTATTTACGGTTACGTTCTCACCGGCATCAATTTTGAAGAAATATGTACCGATGATTCCATCCGTTGTTTTTTCTATAGAAATTGACATCTCTTGAATCTCTTCAGATTACTCTTCATCCTAAATACGGCAATTTTGCTTGTTTACATTCCCATTGACGCAGAAATGGACCTCATCGCTAAACAAATAATACCTCCAAGACTTCGGTTCTTTTTCGAACTTTTCTAGAGGTCATAGAGCAAAGCGGTGTCGCTTGGGAAGGTCGAGCGGCTTCAGTTCGTGCACAAACTGTGTTTTGTGCGCTCTCAATTTAAGATCTCAACGTAAAATGCGCCAAGTCGTTCCATACACCAGTCCGAGTTTCTGCAAACGGCGCCGAGTCGACTCTCCTTGGTCTTTGTGTACACTCTGAGGTATGGCTTCACTGTGTGCTGGGCGTGTTCTATTCGTTTGAATATTATCCATTAATAAATGCTGGGTCTCAAAATGAGTAATGCCGTTGTGAATGCTACGATCAGTATGCTGATTATGTTGAACATAAGTTTCGACTCTAGCCATTTTTTTTTGGAAGAGTGATCGATGTCTGATGTAATGTAGAGATGGGAAAATTGTAAATTTGATAATTTTGTTTGTCCACCAAAGTTTCAGCCTCGATTTTCCCATAGGCGTCAGCATGGCGTATTCTGAAAGGCCACTATAATGCAACTCAACTCAAGACGCTTAAGCAATTGGTTGGAAAATATTGAGCTGCAGTGCATAACTTTTGCCACTGCCGACATTTCATGAGCCTAGTTTGCTCTTCTCTTTTTTCTTTTCGAACTGCTGAGCGCTGCAAAACACAAATATAGCGAATTCACCGTTGTAATAGCCAAATTATAAGGTAACCCACTGCAGCCAAGTATTATATAAATACAATTTGAACTCAACACTTCAGTGAAGAAACCGTGCAGGCCAACTTATAGCCGACTTTTTTCACTTTTTTTTTCAATTTTTGTGTACAAAAGTATGCATATAACATATAGTATATGTATGTTTTTGTGTAGTAGCCACAAAGAGGCCAGTCTTTGCGCGCACATCAAAACCTGTCCGAAAACAAATAGACAAACAAACGAACAAGCGAATAAATAAACAAATGAACCATAAGAGCCAGGAGCCAAAATATGAAGGAAACCAGCAAGAACAATTGCTATGCAAGTGAGTGAGTGAGTGTTGGTTGGTTGGTTGGTGTGCCGCGCTGAAAAGACAGTTAAAGTTGCGCGCCAATTCAGGGCAATAAATACTCATGCCACTACTAAAGTCATTTAAATATATTTATATATGCACATATTTGTATTTGTACTCAGATGTGTATGTGTGTGGACATATGAGTGATAGCCGGTATAAGGCTAGGCGCCTTAGTGTATGCTTGTGTTGATTAACAAAAAATGGCACCCAAATGGAATGACTGAAAGTTCAAAGTTTAGCTTTTTGATCCTTCTGAGGTTGTAATTATCCATTACCAAATTGACCTTACGCTTGCTTTGGTGTTGTTTCCAATATTTCTACCAGCCGATTTTTTCTTCTTTGGGGAGTAACTCCTTTGTGGTATGAGAACCACCCTCAATATATATTGTTCCGGTCCGACTATTCTGGTGGAAGCTGTAGAGCGGGTAGGCTCACTCAGAGGCAAAATATATACTTTCCGGTCTTGTGAGCTCTGCATAAATTATCAAATGATAAACTTAGCCACAGTAAAGCTCATACAAATGATTTACTTCCATCTGGTTGAAATTTTGATTTATTTTATTTTATCTTTTTTGAGCAGTTGATTCTATCCGACTCTGAAGATCATCAGAAAAACCTGACGTACTATTTGAACTTAAAAACAACTCAACAATATGGACTTGAATTAATTGTATCATATAGTTCTCAGAGTAAGACCCCAGAAACCCTTCAGTACGCTGTCTATAAACCCATCCTTAGGTCTCCTGTCCTATTGAGAGCGAAATAGCAGCAGCTCGACAATATCGACTTGAATTGATTGTGTCTATGGCATCTTACAAAGTATCTCTCTCTGTCATTTTCTCCGTAGTAATTATTTCGATGTTACTAAATCCAAGAGCTCTCAGAATTAGACCCCAAGTCTTCAGTAAGCTGTCTATGAACCTAACTTTAGCTCTCCTATGCTATTGAGAGCGAATTACGTTGAGAGAAAAAAAATAGTGACGCCGCCCGGATACCGGTCGTAGGGTGAGAAATCTCTTTACGTTTTGCGGAGATATATGTAAATCAAAAATTAATTTCTGCAGATAAATGTAATGAACTTCTTTACGAGATCTACAAGGAAAGATGCTTTATGGACTTAATATGATTTCTAAACGAGACTAGGGTCATGCTAACGTATTTAGTCTGCATTTAAATTCTCAAAACTACTTCAATACGAGCTAAGCTCAAAAACTAATGCTCTTTTCCCAAATGGGTGGCAATTACAGCAAAATATGCATGTCTGACAATGATACTCCTAGTAGAGTCGCAGTTGTAGTTGTAGTAGTATTGGTAGTATCAACGTGCGACAGTGTATGTCTGCCAGCATATGTGCTAGCGAGCAGTAACGAAACTTGCCGGTTGGCTGCAGCCGTTTGGCGCCCACATTTCATTGTGCCAATGCCACCATTAGCGTGGTCGATGCAAGGCAACGACAGGAATAGCGGTTCCATGGCGTTGTTGACGGCAGCGACAACGAGTTCAGCGCGAATAATAGTTTATTAGCGGACACTTGTATGTGCGCGTGTGAGTGTGTTTGTACGTGCATTTGTATTGGCTGTTGCATACCGTAAGGCGCTAACATCTTTTCACCAAAGTCCATTCATTCAGTACGTTGCTGACGGCTCAACGAAACGGTTTCGTATTTTGGGAACGAACGCGTGAATAAAGAAAGTGAAAAAGTTTCGCTTTTCGGTGGAAAGAATTTAGAACTCATTACCCTTTGTTGTATAAATAAACTGAGTGGAATTAGTTAATATATGGAGCGCATTTGAAATGTTAGTGTGAAAAATTTTGTGATTTTTTATAAAAGCGAAATTATGAATTTTACTAATTTTTTTTTAATGGTTTTAAGGATTTATAAATCATAACGGTAAATGTGTAGTACAACGTACGCATTTATTGGGAAATTCACGATACAAATAGATTTATGTTAATGAAAATGAAGAGCAAAAATTAATTGGCTTTTGGAAAATTAAAAAAAAAATTATAACAATAA